CCAAAAAGTTATTCAACATTTGCTTCTCAGAAATCTAAAATCAAAATAAAAAATTTTCAACGCAGCCCTTTATTCTTAGTTTAAAGGCTCAAGTAGTTAAGAGTATTTATTCCTACATCCAAAGTCCTAGGTTCGATTCCCCCTCCTTCCCTCCCCATATCACTTGTATAATTTTTTTTTTAAAGGCTCCATAATCTATAGCCAAAGCTAAAATTTGTCTCAAATCATTGTGGTTTTCACCATTGACAGGTTTTGGTTTCAATCTCTCAGCTACTGTTTGTGATGTGCACCACAGCCTGGCTGTAAGCCAACCTTTTGGAAGCTCCCAATTTGTAATTAATAATATTTGTACCTTCTGCCGGATGGTCGCTTTAGCTCCATATGAAATATTAAATACTTGGATTATATACTACTCTAGCTAAGGAGAAGGTTGCATATATAAATATTAGCCAGAAAGGAAAAAGAAACCCAATAATCTTATTGGCCTCAGGCTTTTACTATATGATTTTACACGAGTTTGATAGCTGATTGGCAGGCCCTCAAAGCCCCTCCATGATATATTGAATTGAATTTTATCATCTCAGTGCGTAAACAGCCTACCAAATGGCCAAGTGTTGGGGGCCCTCCAGTGTGTCCTACTTGTGTATATATGTATTTTGACAATGATACACTGACCTCGTGCTCTGCCCTGGCCAACCAGAGCATACCTTTCTCTTGCGAATCAATTGAAGATCCAAGGTTATACATGTGCTCAAGAAATGCAACCCATAGAGCTTTTAAAAATATGTCTCACATTTTTTTCTGTTTTATGATTAATAATTCTAGTATATACCAGAAGAAAGAAACTAACAGTATGGATTTGTGTGCATGGTACCAACTGATTGTGAGGACCAAATCTAACGTATCATGGCCTAACCCATATGCCACAACTAAACAACGTGGGATGATCAAACTTCCCTCCCACTAGAGGAGTGCGGAACAAGGGAGACACAAATCGCTCGTCTGATCCCACATTACCATGAAGTGGAGGACGGGATGCGCAAAGCTAGGGAAGTGGGGCTAAACCCACGACCTCAGAGTGCTATAAAACCCCAGCTAGAGCTCCAGCAAAGGTGCGAGAAATTGAACCGAACACTAAGAGTACGTTGCACAAACACTGACTTGAGCGTTGGAGTGACTTTTGCAGGTACTCACCCCCTTTCCATCGTTCGATTTCGGGAACGTAATCTGGAGTTCTCTTTCAACCAAGGAAGTGTGCGGACTTCAGTCAAGAACCTGTGGAGGTATTTCTTCTTGAAAGAAATCCTGCTCCAACACTGATCTAGAAGGATCAGAACCTTAACAAACCAAAAGAAGTATGATATCCTTGTGGCTGGTCTTCCAAAAGGAAGAAAAGATCTCTAAGAGCGGTTTTTTGGATCCGAAATAGAGTACTTGGGTTCTCCTCCTCCAGGATGACCCTTGTTATACTGCAGAAGGGCCTCTCGTTGACGACATTAAACGGCTCATAGCCTTGTTCTCCTCCTACTCGGCCCACTTTGTTCCTCGTACAGCTAATGGGGTTGCAGATCATCTTGCTCGATTCAGTCTTGGTCATGAGGATTTAGCATTTTGGCTCTCTAATCCCCCTCTTTGGTTACAGGATTGTCTGCTTGCGGACTCCCCTATTTGCTATGATGTTTGACTCTCTTGTGGTACTCTTTCCTCCTATGGGGTTTTTCCCATTGAATTTTCCTCAAAGAGATTTTAACGAGGCCACTCCTTACATGCTCTTCTCCATGTAATACTATGATTATCCAATGAAATCCAATTTCTTCTCAAAAAATTGAGTAAATAAATATTGTCACATCATTCTGTGAACATTCTTTTAATAACTAGCTAATATGTTAGGCCTACCATAAAATATAAAAAAATAGGACCACTTATTTCCTGTTCCAGTACGGCACAGCGTGTTCGTGACTCGGGCTGTGAAGAAAATTACTGCTAAGCTAAATGTTGTAAACCGGAACTCACTAATTTGAAAATTTGGTATTTTATCTTCTTTTCTTGTCTGTGACTTTTAGGTTAAATTGCATGACAGAGATGTCAAAACCAGGTTACGGAGATAATTGAGTCCTCTTTGGCTCTGTTGAAAAGGATTTGGCTGTAGAGGTCTCCATCATTGGCCCAAGAATCTCTTTTGCCACACATCTCTAATGGTCCAGACGCAAATTGGTTGCAATTTCAGAACCCTAAGAAAGCCACTAAACCAAAATAATAAATACTCCTGAATAATGTTTGGTTTATCGTCCAATTTTGGAAGACTATCACTAAGTGAATAAATTTGGTCAAAATAAATTGCACCTGTGTTTTTTTTTTTTTTTAAACAATGCAATATGCGAAATCATTCTAATGTATGGGGACAGAGATTGAATTCTAGTGAAAGGACGAGCACGCTGTCTTGGCCAACTGATCTAACCCACATCTGCATATTATGATGTTATTAGGTCAGATTATAAGGATGAGAAGGTTGTTACTATAATTTAGCGTTGTTCTAATCTTGTTATTATGTTCTAGTCAAACTCAAATTAGTAGCACTGGAAACCCCAACTATTTTCTACTCTCTCATATCATGGAATCATATAGGATGCATGCAGGGTCCACTGTATTGAATATGAGTTGGGAAAGAAATCTGTTTAGTCTTTAGTCAAACATAACCATTGTTCCAATAAGAACTTTCTTCAAAAAGTTCATATATAATAGCTCATAATTAATCCAAGGTTGGAAAATATACGAAGGGGATAAGAACCAGGATGAAGAACTTATACTTGGTAAAAAAAACAAACACTTCTCTTCTTGGGTGGGCTGGAGCACACCCAACCCCTGTGGTCCGTACTACATTTGAACTTTTCAATGGGGGCATGAGGTACTCATTTACCATACCATGGACCAATAATGGAAGACCATGAGACTTTTCAATTTCACAAAGAAAGAAAAAACTTACCTAATGACGGGGCATCCTCTAATTGATGGGGAATATTGCTGCTTTGCTCCTCCATTATTGGACTCATGCATGTCGCATTCTATTTTTTTTAATACAAGCAAACACTACCGAGGTGTAATAGAGATAGAAGTTTGAACCGAAGACCATTCATTGGGCTATAGACCTCGTTGGCATGCATGTCACATTCTTAAACAAATGTTGAATTAGTTGGATTAGCAAATTAGCATTATATTCACGTGAAAAAGAGATTGATATGAGACAATTTAGCATTATATTTATATATTGAATTTGTGTGTTTTTTTTCAATTAAAATAGTATAAGCAGGTTGGGCCTAGTCCACGGTCCACCCAAATACAATAAAAAATCAAAATTAGTATGAGAAGACTAGGAGACTGCGAGAAAATTAAAAGAACAAAGCATTGTTTGTATATAATTTTTACGAGTATATTTTTGTATTAACAAGAACATTATTTTATACACTAATTTCCATTGCCATAAAAAAAAAAACATAGAATTCTGTCTAGTACTTGTCATTCTTTTCACTTTTTTTTATTTTTCCTTTTCGAATATTAAGTACGTACTCAAAGTCATATAGTCCTTCTTTGGACAAAAAGTGGGATAACTTGTACCTCCCATTGTCTTCATACATGTCCTATAATAAAAACTAGTTTGAAGCCAGCAAGGCCTTTCATTTCAATCTTACATTTGTGCTACCAAACTTTTGTGCAACACTGGGACCTCTTGCGCTGTTGATGTTGACTTATTATATTGTGATGTTACCTAGCTCTTTCCAATATTGGTGATAAATTCATTTTGATTTTCTACTTCAATCTCACAATGCCAAGACTTAAGCGACGAATTTAAAGACCGTCTCAAATCCCAAGTGGTGAGTTGTAAACTCAACAGTTATAGCTTTGAATATCTACAGTAGTTGTGAATGTATCAAAATTTATCTGATACGTATGGTTTGCAAGTAATTACAAGTATCTCGAATACGTCAGATAACTTTACTCGTTATCCAAAAAAGAATTAAAAACTGTCTCCAACCAGGACATCTGCTGGCATCTATAAGTAAGTTCAAACAATATTGTGGTTGAAACTGATAAATATGCATTACTTCATAACTTTGCATAACTTGTACGTACGATGAATGCCATAGGACGCAATCTTTGTGTTAAGGTTAACTTAAGTTTATAAGACTAAATTATGATTATATTAGTCAACATGAATCTTAAGGATGATTAATGTCAGAAGCAACCTCTTCAACAGTTGCGTCTAGCTAGGAAACAAGTGGAAGACTACTTTAAACAACAAGTCGGCAATCAAAAAACCAATTTTAAAACGTGCTTAAACATCTACGGTCTCGAAATCTGCTCTCTTACTTGTGCTTTGTTCTCCCTCAAGCAAATGACATACAAAAATGTGCAGCTAGCTCGACTATTAAACACCAAATTTAATCCCTTCCAAAACTAAACAAAATTGCATTACTTCGTAGAATATATATATTTTTATACTAAACAAGGCTTGATGAGGACTTTAATCTTAAATATGAATTTGCATGTAATGAGTGTGTATAATGTTCCTCTCATAGTCCGACTTTATATGAAAAGTTTTTGTACATAATTTTTAGAATTAGTTATTTGTTTTCAATACCTCTTAAAATTTGATGTATTAAACAACAACCGAATTATATCCCATCACAACTGATAAAACCATATTTTTCAATTGAGATAGAGACATGGTATAAAACAAATAGTTAAGCTTTTGGTCAAAAGATATACAGTAACAACTGAACTAGGGTCTCCTGGGGAAGTTCCCCCAGCATTCAATATATATAAATTAGTAATTAAAGTAAAAATTTATTAAACACTAAATAAATAGACCCGATCTCATCTATTTGTTTAATATAATTATTTTTTTTTTTAAAACCCATCACTCACGAAACAAAAGCACCAAACAAAAAGATTAAAAAAGATGAGCAAGACAATGATAAATCCAACACTTTATCAAGCATCTATTTATATCATCATATCTCATATACCATATATATAAGAATAATCCCACACATATTGCAAGTTGAAGCAAAGTTGCACCAAGTTCACACCTTCAAGACATTTTCCTCTCTCTCTCTCTCTCTCTCTCTCTCTCTCTGTGAAGTCCCAACTACATGGAATAATCCTCCATTTTCTCACATACTTTGACCTACTTACTTGTTATTATTATCTTCATCCTCATGAGCCACAGCTGCAATTGCACTGTTGATTTGGCCAAGCAAGCTGCTCATGGATCGCGCTTTAACAATCCCAAGCTTCATTCTCTTCCTTTTAACCATCAATGGCTTCCCTTCCTCTTCACCTCCATTTTCATCACGATCACCTTTAGCTTCGTCAACATCATGTTCATCTAGAAGCACAGCAGCTTTGGTGTCTTCTTTCCATGGCGACTCCACAGAAGATCTAGATGCTGATAACCGCTTGAGCTCCTTCTCAATGGACGCAGTACTAGTAGTAGTAGTAGTAGTACTTGTCGTCGTCGTTGCCATAGACCGGCTTCTGACGCTGGTCATGCTCCTCAACCTTCCCTTGCCCAAGTGATGCTCGCAAAGAGAGTAGCCAACAAGAGTTTGCTGGCAACACCTCCATCCTCTTCCATTAACTCGACTGCACCGCGACCCCTCCATGAGTGCACCGCTGCCTCTTGCCCTCTTCTTTGTTGCACTCGAATTACTACGAACAATAATATTGACATGATCAAGGCCTTGTTTGGCCTCTTCATCCTCTTGCTTCTGATCATCATCGTTTTGCTGTTGAGTTGCACATTTTTTGTTCATCTTGGTCTTCATTGATTTCCTGTCTTTCTCCTCCATATTCGCTCCTCTTCCGAAGCTCCCTCTTCGCTTCTTCAACGGGAACGCTTTCTCTCCTTCACACCATCTCCCAACGGCTGTTTGCAATGCAACCCAACAACAGCGGCAACATGAAAACCAATAATTCAATGCAAGCCAGAAATGGTAGAGATTATATTTCATGAATAATTGTATTAATAATCACCTCGGTGAGAAAAGCTTGATGATCCTGAAGCAAAACCCATCAACGTTTCTGCACCCAATATGCTTTCCTTCCTAAAAAACCAACCACACCACACCCATGGATCGACAACCACATAAACTTGCACCTCAGAATTTACAGCCCGGATGAAATAAAAATAACCCAGAAAATAAAGTGCAACAATTAAATTTATAAGTATATTGGGGACCAGATTATCCCATGCTAACGTGCACCGCATGGGTACATTTGTTACCCAATATGGAGAGAAGAAAAATAGAAAAGAAAAGAAAAGAAAAAGGAGCAGCTAGAGGATTAGATTAGATGGGAAGGTATGGTGGCTAGCCAAAGCTGATATAAAAACACATAAAAACAGTATTTCCACTTACAGTATATAAACATATAAATATATATTATTTTTCTTTCTTGTATTTTTCTTTTTGGTGAGCTGGGAAAGTAAATAACTCAAGTTAGGGAGGGGTCTCCCTTCTCTTTTGACCCTTTTTACTACAAGAGATTTCATGAAAGATGAGAAGAGAGAACATGAAGTGAATTAACTTTTTATTTATTATTTATTTCTTTTTATTTTTCTCCATCTCTCTCTCTCTTACCTGATATCATTATTCTCTCCATCTCTTGATCCTCTCTCATCTTCTTCTTCTTCCCCTTTCAATATCAAGAGCTCCTGCAAAAATCAGACACCAAATATATACATGATCCACTCTCACAAGCTATATGCCTGGCCTTGTGTTGAGACCCCCATGATGGGTGCAAATGAAGAAGAAGCAAGAACCAAATGAAAATTAATCAACACACACACACACTTCCTCTTTGGGTTACATTGAACAAAGGTGCACCCAAAAACAAAACTAAAAATGACAAAAAAAGAAAAAGGGTTGTGATGTGAGCATTAAATTCAACTAACCAAACCACAATCTTGCTTGTTGTGCTCCTTGTGTTTATCCTCACCAGCAGCATCAGAAAACCCCCAGCCTTTCTCTGCCCGTCCGATCGGCAAGAGACCTTGATTGAGATGATGATCAGACGGCTGAGGATGGGGATGGCCCACCCGGGAAGTTTTCTCAACTGGGTTAGAGGGTTTTTGTTGGGCGGGGGCAGGATCATGGTGGGTGTGGAGTTGCACCATGGGGGGTGGTCGTGGTGGTGGTGAGTAGTTGAGGTTGTGGAGGAGGGGATCTGATAAAGGCACCGGAGAGAGAGATGAGAGAGGGAAGGGCACCGGTCTTTTCCGGATCCTCATCGGCTTTAAGATAAGATATTATTTGGGTTCCTCAAACAACAAAGGAAGAGAAAAGAAAAGAATAGACCAATCCAATCTCTCTCACACACACTGAGAGACCCAAGAAGTGGATGATCTCTCAGTTTCAGGTCAGATTTTGATGATTTTAATCACACAAAAACAAACACATATGCATAGCTAGAGAGAGAGCGAGAGAGGGGTGCAAAGCAAACCCAAAACCCATATGAAGAAAAAACTACAACCCAAGAGAGAGAGAAGAAGAAGACCAAGAAATTAAAATTTGTTGTTGGCTTTAATATTTTCTCTCTCTCTCTCAAACTTTTATTTGTTGCACCAAAGAAGAGAAGGGATTCGTGTAATAGGGAGTGGCACGTGCGGACGGTCAAATGAGAGGTGGTGGCACACGTGTGGGAACCGGCTGGATGGGTAGCCGGTGAAAGGAGCAAAGGGAAGAGAATCGGAGAAGCAGGGGAGGGTGGGGACAGGGTACGGACGATAATTGCCAGGGTGGAAGGGGAAGAAGAGAGAATACAAAATGATGGGAGTGGGTAGTTTTATCGTTTATACTTTTAAGACCGCATGGTGGGTCCCACTCACCCTTGAGACCCAGATGCCTTTCTTTGTTTTTCTTTGTGTTTTTTTTTTTTTAAATTTTCTTTTTTACTCTTTTTGCTAACTATCCCCACCACTATCAACTAAGCAATCTTATTGGGTGCAATTTGTGAGAGTGGAGTGTTACAATAGACCAGAGGAAGATGGTGATTTTCTAAATTTTAAAACGTTTTGGGTGTTGTGTTTTTCCAAGGCTAAAGAACACAAGCTCTTTTGCTCATTATAATGCAAACTTTTGTTCCTTTTTTGAGCCACATACTTGCATATTTGTGGTATATACTTGGTTGTAGTCGCTGGTACTTGTTCTAGGAGGATAGCAACCCACTCCTACTTCCAAGATCAATCTTGGGATTTGAGCCCCAACCTCATACCTTAATCACATATAGGAGGAAATAATCAAAGGGTTTTGAGCTACCCATATTATTGTAGTTTCATAATTTTATGAGTTCCACATTATGTGAGAGAGTTGAAAATAACGTTGGTGTGGGGTATTGTTATACTTCCCAACCCAATTTGGCAGGCACTATCATATTAGATCTATAATATGGTTATTTTTTTTTCAATTCAATGAAATACCGTGGATACCAAGTGTTACATAGATTAAGAAAAAAAGGTTGAGATAAAAGTTGGGGTGTCAAATATTGAGTCGAAAGAAGAAGAAAAAACCCATATTGTAGAACCCAACAAGATAGTGCCACATTGATTATGAAGAAGAAGTTTGGATACAAAGTTGGGGAATGACTTTTTTATTTATTATTTATTGAATTGCTCATCAAACAAGAGAGTTATTGGACAACGGGAACTAACCCAACTGAAATGGACCTTAATTTGCATATTAGTGGTCTCAGGTTCAAACCTCCACAATATCTTGGTAGTGTTTGTGTAAGAAATCGTTCTTTCCATTGTAATTTAGACTATCACTTATAGTTTATAAAAATAAAAAATAAAAAATAAAAAATAATGAGAACAAATGCATTCAAAGGTTTGATTCACTACGTTAAACATTTGCGTCAAATCCACCATTAAATGCATTGTCCCTCATGTAGGGTTTCCCTTACACACCTATCGTGTAAAGAATATGGTGACATTAACATATGCTCTTTGCTAAGTGATTTTGAGAAAATGGTGTTTTTGACGATGAATAAGGCCAGTGAGTCTTATGGGCCGATAGTCTTTTTCTGTTTGTCACTTTGCTTGGGCCTTTGGCTCCCTTTGTAAAAAAAAAAATTATATATATATAATTTCCCCCTTATGTGAGCAATTTTTTATCATATACGTTTCTTAAATTTCAAACAATACATATAGGTGTTAATTACTCTATCATTACTTTTTAATTGTGTAGTTGCTAATTACTCTATCAATTTGAAGTTTATATTCCTTAATACTCCTCGTGTTCCTGCTATAATCATTAATCATGATTCATGTTTCTCTTCTTTTGATGGATTATTAGTTTGCTCTCCAATTTTCCACAATACCTTTTGTTTTGTATTTTGTTTATGGTCGCAGTAATGAATGTGTCATTACCAAACATATATTACAAAAAGCCCAACACAAAGTCAAGAAGAAAAACAAGGTCTCAACAAAAAAAGAAAGAAAATAAAAGCCCAATTCCAAGTGCAAAATATAGGCCCAAACCAACAAAGAGCCCAAAAAATACAAAAACCCTAAAATTAGACCCTGCAAACAAGAAGTCGCCACCGTCATTATCGGATCCGTTGGCGCCGCCATCAGAAGAAGAAGGTCTAGAGGAACCAACAAGGGGGATCTGTAGAGCATGAATTTGGGGAAGCAAGCCACTAACATTTATCATACTCAATCGATCCAAGTATGGGTCAAAATTGACCATTACGCTACAGAGCCCACACCTCCATGGCAAAAGCTCAAATATGAGGATGGGTTGTAAGGGTGAAGCAGCTGCAATAATCCAGTAAACAACTAAGAAAATCATAGGGAGAGAAGAGAATTTAAGGGTTTCAGATCTGATGGGAGGGGGGGAGGAAGGAACTAAAGTGTAGGTGAGGGGAGGAGAGGAGAAGGAGGTGAGAAAGGGGTGATGGCTGAAGTGAAAATGAAGAGGAGATACATATGGAATTAGGAATGACATATAGGCCAAAATCTGGAAAAGCAAGGAGAAAGGGCAAAGCAAAACAAATAAAGAGGAAAAGGAAAAGCCACACCAAAGGTGGCAGGGGAGCCACCCCAAAGGGCAGCAAGAAAACCACCAGATGATGCTCAGAAGAGAAGGCGATGGGGGAGGAGAGAAGTTCTAGAGAGAAGGAGCAGCCTCTCTCTCGAACTCAATTTAACTTCTATTTTTCGTTTGTTCAATGACGTATATCATACCACTTATACAACCAATTTGGCATTGTGGTGTTGTGAAAATAAACGCTTTCAGATTTGCTGTGAGAGAAAGCAGTTTGGCGTTTGGTAAACTTTTTGTCAAAAGTGTCGTTGGTACTAATTCCCGCATAATCAGAAAATGATTCCCGCATAATTATTAAACCTAGCGCCTCTTCGAAACTGATTCCCGCATAATTAGAAAATGAAAGCACCTCATTAGCTATTTTCCCTTAGGCCCCGTTTGGTTCATGGGAAAGGAAACTTGGGGATGGGAAATCAATTGTTTTCCCATGTTTGGTAAGTCAGGCATGGGAAATCGTTGCCAAGCATATGGGAAAGTAGGGGGGAAAGTGAAGCCATCCTCCCTCCTTGGGTTTTACTTTCCCTTCTCATGGGAAAGTTAGGTTAGCATTAAATGCACATTTTTTTTTACTAATTTATCCTTACTAATAATTTATAATTACAGTTTTATCCAACTATTGGTATTCCTTTTTTATTTTTTAATTCATAACATATTTTTAATAAGGGTAAAATTGGGAAACTAAACAAAATTAGCTTTCCATTCCTACTCAAAATAAACATGGGAAAGGAAATAAAGTAATATTTCCAGGTTACTTTCCCAGTATTACCAAACATGGGAAAAGAATCACAATTTCTCATCCCTTGGGAAATGACATGGGAAATGATTTCCCATCAAATCCGTTCCGTGAACCAAACGGGGTCTTTAGCTTTCTCTCACAACAATTTTTAACAATAAGTGATTTTCTCATAGTTTACCAAACAGGCTGGGCTTCCCAAAAAATTTAAAAATCACTTATCACCCCAAATAAGCAATGTCAAACGGGCACATAGCCTTGAATAGTGTATTTATTTACAACACAGAAATTAAATGCACATTTTTTTTTTACTAATTTATCCTTACTAATAATTTATAATTACAGTTTTATCCAACTATTGGTATTCCTTTTTTATTTTTTAATTCATAACATATTTTTAATAAGGGTAAAATTGGGAAACTAAACAAAATTAGCTTTCCATTCCTACTCAAAATAAACATGGGAAAGGAAATAAAGTAATATTTCCAGGTTACTTTCCCAGTATTACCAAACATGGGAAAAGAATCACAATTTCTCATCCCTTGGGAAATGACATGGGAAATGATTTCCCATCAAATCCGTTCCGTGAACCAAACGGGGTCTTTAGCTTTCTCTCACAACAATTTTTAACAATAAGTGATTTTCTCATAGTTTACCAAACAGGCTGGGCTTCCCAAAAAATTTAAAAATCACTTATCACCCCAAATAAGCAATGTCAAACGGGCACATAGCCTTGAATAGTGTATTTATTTACAACACAGATGCATAATATACGTTTTATTTGGTCAAACATTGCAATCTTAGTTAGGATGTCTATGGCAGAAAGTTTATTCAATCCAACGTGGTTAAGGCGCATATATATATATATATATATATATAATTGGACCATATATATTGATAGCAAATTTAAAATTACTTATCAATATCTATTTTTTAAATATTATAAAGAATTATCAAACAAATAATTCAACAAGGAACATAAAATCAAAAACTCTTGGTTCATCATAATTAACCAAGTAAAATAAACTAAACCTATGGCCGTTGGATTTAGTATTGATCAAGAGCTCCTACGTGGGATCAACTTAAAAGTAGTGGATATAGGTTCTTTTTGGAGGTGGATATATCATACATTAAGTTAGAACAAATATATGGTAAATAATAATAAGATAATATATATGGTGAAACAAGGAAAAAAAAATTGGGGTCCTGTGCAAGGGCCGACCTTGCATGCCCCCAAATCCGCTACTAGGCGCACCAGATTATCTTAATATTAGATTTCTCCGTAATTACAATGGTTCTTTGTAATTTGCTTGTATTGGCTATTTGTGGCCAGTAAATTTTTTGATTGAATTATGAATGCAATCCAAAACTTTCTCAAAAGCAATACATATGTTTTATTTATTTATCCGTGAGAGAGATATACCAAATAAGTCGTTTTCTTTTTCACTTTAGGCATAACAGCAACTGCAATTCTTTGGTTTCTTTAACAGGATTTTTGATCCTATGTGGAATTTTCAAATCCACAAATGAGATTTTTTTTTTTTTTTTTTTTTTTTTTTGGGGTGGTTTTTGTGGTGCTGCCAAACATTTCATGTCTTCATGGTTTATCCGTGTGCCTTCTTTTAAAATCCCCTATTTAATTCTTGAACACCAAGCCAA